ACTCACACTGATGGACAATTTGGTATCTTGCCCAAGGACATTTCAACATGCAGATTGGAACAGCTGGGTATTGAACCACCAACCTTCCAAGCTGCTCTACCTCCTGAGAAACAGCTGCCCCTAATTGTGATGGCAGGCAACAATATCAGAGCATTCTCAGAGCTGCAGGTCTCGGGGGTTGTTCCTGGTGTGCAATCGATGCCACGTTAGCATCAATCGTAAACAAAGGAACAACCTACCTACTATGAATCATGTTTTCTTTTTCAAGATGTGCATATAAGTTAAGCATGACAATAAAAGAAAGAACATGCAAAATCTAAATGCATGTGGAGGCCATGTGTCCTCAGTTAGCGAGCTGTGATACCTGGCTCACTGTAGCTATTCAGGGATTCATTTATGAGTCAATATCACAAAATGACAGCTCAAATATTTCAACTTGATCAAATTTTCATCATCTTTATGCCCCTCTTCTCTGAGGGACTCAGATGCTGCAGTCTTTGCAGTATGTGTAATGAAGCCTCCTGCTGACTTCCTGGTAGCTCCGTACACGTGCACTTTGTTAGTCTGCTTTAAAAAACCTAAAAACTAACTGTAATTCATTGTCAGTAGGCCCACCTTTCTGAAATTATAGCAAATTCTGTTCTAACCTTCAGTGAACAATCTTTGTATATTTCTGTCCTAAACTGATCCCAGATGCACATGACACCTCATACCTTCCCCTTCCCTCTGGCTCTGGAAAGACTAGCATACACATGTTGTAAATGTGACCTCTCTAGTGCAACCTTTGAACAGATAAGGCTATTTTCACACAACAGGAGTGGGAGTGCATATATTTAGCATTAGTTCATGTTATTTTTAACACAAATGGCCTAAATACAGCAAGGAAGTACTTTTTGTCACTACCGGTCTTTCTTACTGTTCACATAAAAAATCAGGTGTTACATGCAGTTTAAATATTTCCCTGACAGTCTGATTTAACTACACCAGGCCTTTATATAGATTGGTGTTGTAGATTTACTTTATTGAGTTATTAAAATGCTTCACTGTAGCAGCTGCTGCAAACGTTATCGTGGCCTTTAATTAACTCTGGATTTCTATCAGTTAACAGATTTCATTATTATTGTTATCTTTTTTCTTTTCACCTGTAGAGAGATAGAACTTTATTATAAGCTATATTTAAATTAAATCTTTTATAAAGATTATTAGCATACCATTTGAGCTTATTATTAAGTAATCGATAGACCCGTTGAACCTTTTGAATTTTCAAAGCACGGTGTTTCAGATTAAAGGAAGCACAAAATCGTGCATTAATATTAATAAAAGAGATTTGAAATCTAGAAATAATCCAATCGTAAAACAGGATGGGTATAGCTGACATGCTGAAGAAAGGAGATGGATTCTGAGTTAAGACTTGAACTTTGTAAAATCATCAAACTGATGAAGGTGTCGCCATGATGTTTGGTTTGAAGCCAGGAGCACTCAGGATGATGCTGAGCATAAAGCATGTCAAGAGGTGTAAGGGTGAAGGTGGTCTAACTGATAGGGAGGTGCTAAATCATTAAGGACTTTGAAAGTAAGAAGCAGAATCTTTTATTAAAAAAATCTGAGGAATTGGGAGCCAGTGGATGGGAATAGTGTAATATGGTCAGTAGTGTCCCATTTAGACCTCATTACGGAGTTTGTTGGGAAACTAGAGAGAATGACATTACAGTAATCCAAGTGAGAGGCGACCAGAGCAGGAAAAGGGCAGAGTCTATAAATGTTACGAAGGTGGAAGTAGCAAAGACTGGTTGTATACCAGTAGCATTGGAGGAGAAAGCAAATCAGAAGCTGGCTCAGTTGGCTCGCTCTGGAAATAGCCAAAGAACAAGACAATTTGCATTTGAGTGTCTTACTACACGTACAGTGGAAATACATTCATATGTGGAAAATATAAAAAGATGAAAGAAAACAAAAGAATTATACACAGTGTGTTTTATAAAGCCCCATATAACAGTGGTACACAGAGCTCCTTCTTTCCATTTAGTGTTTCCTCAAGGCAACAAAACACACTCAGAATCTGTTACATTTGCATGTAAGACACAGATATGACAAAAATGAGAAAAAGAGCTTTTTACAATGTCATTAAACCTCTAACCCCCCACCCCCCCTTACACACACACACACACACACACCCTACTGCTGACCTCCTATTGCGTGCTGACAGATATTGATGGCATTACCTCCGGCTTCCAGGACTCCAACAGTTCCTAATGGACTGGTTACAGCATACAAAGAAAAGAAGACAACACAACAATCTGGTCACACTCACTAACTCTCATGGTCCTCCATTGCTTGCTCTGGTGTGCTGTTTTTCACCTACTCCACCAGGGCGGCATCGGGGCCCCAGTTTCCTACTGATCCCCACACCCACGCACTGTTCACCTGCTGCTCATCACTGCTGACTGATCCAGACATTAGTCAAGACCTCAGTGGATCGTGGCTCCTCACTGGATCGTTGTACTTACCTTTGTAAGTGTAGCCCCGGCTGTCTCTAGCGTACCTCCTTGTATTTCCTGGTTCTTCTCCCCCAAAGGCTGTCTCTGTCTCCATGTACAGATGTCCCTGGACCTTTGCCTGTTTCCCTTGGACCCAACCTGGATGAGTGCGAGTGTGTTTCTTGTCACGGACTGTAGGAAGAGGAGCGTGTATCGGCTGCCCCAGACCCTCCCTTGGAATCCCTGGAACTGTCATCGCTGTATAAATGTATATAACTCTCCTTGTTTCAATCATAAACATGCACCATTAAGTCTAATATTCAGATTCAGATGTCTGTGATTGCATACATGTAACACACAGACAAATGGTTGCTGCTTGTTTAAGCATGTTAGGGCTTCATGTTTCAGTTGATGCTGTATCAAAATTATCAGACAATTGTGTGATGAGCTCCAGTGACACAGCCCCTGATGACAGGCGTGTGTATGTAGTATTTCATTTACTCCAGTGCAAACAGGACTGTTCTGCTCGACTTGTGTGGCGCCTCCGTCATTCCTCGAGCTGTGTGATTATTTTTACATTGTCTCCATTTCAGCCACTCCTACTTCCTACTTTGAGACACTGCCCACATGTAACTAACCCAGATAGCATTACCTCAGGCAGACACTGTTTACATGATGTTTTCATTACAAAGTTTTAACAGATAAAATATCACATTACTAGAAATTAAAATCAAGTATGCTTGTGTCTCTTTTAGAGTTCAGGTTTAGAGACACAGACGTAAAACGCAGGACTGTACAGCATTCAGGAAAGTCACACGATATTAAAGTTTGTAAAAATGATTTATTATCATGATTTCATAGTAATGTTCACACGGTTGTTTTGTTTTTTCTCTTTCCCAGATCTTTATGAAGCTTCTGCATTTGCCCAAACTTTACCTCTTTGTGAAGTTTGGTGAAACTGGGCATGTTATTGTGTAATGAGTAATAGATGCCCTTGGCTCTCCTGGCAGAAAAATAAATAGGTGCACTTAAAGTCATTTGGGAAATGATTAGTGATATTCCATGAAACAGTGTGCATTGTGTAACATTGTGACTTTTCATCAGGAATCTCACCTTGCTCTGGGTCATATTCCCATACAGGCACGAGATTTTCAAGACCTTCTCTTGCTACCATTGCTACCATTCTGAGATCTCGAGCACTGGAGCAGATTCCAGTAATGTTTACAATGCAATGATTTAGCATATTCACACATATTTAAAAACATAAAAGTCCACACTTGTCAGTCAAACAAGAAGTCTTCTCCAAGAAACCTGCAAGCTTGAGAGTCCTGCACAGTAGCTTTGCTGTTCCTAGGACAGAGATCTCTGCGTCTGCAGGAGCCACTTGCCCAGTTTGGGGTCGGGTCAGTGACCATGGGGAACACTGTTGCCTTCACACTCATCATGTGGAGCCCTTTTCTAGCACCTCTCACAGCCCTTTGTAAGTCTTGAGCTTCTTCCTGATGTTGCAATCAGTTGGTATAACTACATCATTTCCCTCTGTTTGTCCACCACTATTATGTCTGCTTGGCTAGCAATCACCAGTTTATCCATGTGGGATGGGGGGTGGTCGGGACTCAGAATTTCGATTTGAATAATATGTAGACTATAGAATATAATAGAATATAATAATAATGAGTACATTTCAGAGCTGGTACTTTTTCACTCTCAGTTTCTTCAGTACTTCAACATTTACTGGAGTTTCTTTTAAACACAGGTATCTGTACTTCTACTTAAGTAAAGAAAGCGTGTACTTTTGCCACCTCTGATAAGAAGTATGTGAGGTTGGTGGCAGACGTGTATGAGAACTGTGAGCCACTGGTGAGGTGTGTGCGTAACTGGACTTAACAAACAGAAACTTGAAGCTGACTGCAAATTTGAAAGTTTTGATAAAACATCAGCTGATATTAATAACTATTGTTTAATAAATGTTGTATGTGTGGTAAAGCTGCTGTTTTAAGCCACAGCGAACAAAGCTTGACATGATGACTGCGTGATGGCGTGGTTAATTCCAGCGCGCGGGCCCGTCCACGAGCACGGGTCACCCATCACTCTGGACATTCCAGACTGTGGGTTCTTAGGGACTAACTGTCATCACACTCAACAAAGTTTGTTTCGCAGTCTTGGATGAACACGTCACTGCTAGTGTGTGCATGCTACTTTAGTAACTAATGTGCATCTGAAAGGCACAGTTATATTTATAACAGGTAAACACAACCTGAAATGACACATTTAAACTCTGAACTACATGTTACATAAATATGAATATAATACAAGCAGGCTAAATGGCTGCCACCTCTGTTCTTGAAGAAATGAAATGATTGACCTGCTCTTTGAAAGCCTTTGTAAGATGTATTAGTGGTCAAATTATGCAAGTTTCAGCTACTGTGATATTTCAGAAAGTGATATTTCTCTTTTGACATCATTAAAAAGCTTATATAACCAAGGCAGGAAAAACCAACCGACTGACACAGAGCAACTGAAAGGAGCAGCAAACGAGTCAGACAGAGAGCGTGTTCGCTCTAATCACTGCAGTGTAGCAGTCATCACGCTGTTCCCCCGTGTGGCAGTTTTATTATCAGAGCTGGAATGCAGCACAAGAGTCATTTCCCCTAACGATCTCAGCCACCTTCCACACCTCAGGACAAGTGAGTGTGGCTGACATGAGTGTGGAAGAGGGGAGGGCAGCAGAGGAGGATAATACGTAAACGAAAAGGAAGAAAGATGAAAAAAAATAGTCATGTATGAAAGTGAGCCAACAAAGACACCCGTTAGAACGGCAGCATTAATGAGATGAGGGTGAATGATGTAAACACAAAAGTGCTTATCTGATATACTGTAACACTGTCAACAACTAGTATTGTAAGTAAAGTTATCATAACTGGTGCTGTATGTCCAGATGCAGTTCACAGCTCACTCAGTACAGAGAGAGAAGCCATGTTTAACTCAGGAAAGATTAGATTGATAAAAATAAGAAAAACATGCAGCTGAGCAGACAGAAGGAGAAAAAAAATTGATCTGAAGGTAGAAACAAAGACGGGGGAGACTTCCTGCCTGACCGCAATAAGTAGAATAGATAAATAAAAGTTGTTGCCTTGGTAATGGGTTTCATTTTTTGTTGTCATACTCTATCTTTATTTCTGTGTCTGGAGTTTTTCTTTCAGCCTTTAGAGCTGCTTTATCTGTGGCATAGACTCCACACTGGCTTTTGGATGTGATGACCTCATTGTGGTGTTCAAGACACCAATATGAGACTAGTTTGGTGTCAGGATCGGGGCAGACTGGATGTTTTTCCCTCTTCTTTCATCACCAGGTGGATTGATGGGCAGGTTTTGCCTCCCAGCTCTCCACAGCTCCTGCCAAGTCATCCTCACAAGTGTCCTACAGGAAATTCTTCCCCGGTCCTCAGAAGTCCGTAAGAGCCACGAGCTGCCGTAACCTTAGCCAACTCTTCCTGCCCACACTAATCCTGCCTCTCCTCTGCAGACGATCCCTGACTGCCAGTGCTACGTGTAGTGCCAGCTGTGATTCTCCCTCATTGTTTTGCCTTATTTATGTTGTCAAAAGCAAAGCTCGTAATTGTGCTACGCACCGTCTCAATTCTCTCTCAATTCTTCAGCCATTACACATGGTCTGTAATTCACCCTGAGAGGACAGCAGCACGAGCTATTGTTTCTGCACCATGATACTAAACAGTTTCATCTGCTCTAAGCTGCCTAGTTATTTCACACAACATTTAATAAACACTAAAATTCATCAGAATATGTTTTTCAACATATTTTCAATATAAAATATCCTGATAACATCAGCAACACTTAATGTAGAAACCCAGGGTCTAACATGAATTAGGACAATAATCTTTGAATGTAACATTTATTAAATGTCACTCGTGGAGAAGTTATTCCATTTTTTCCCACCCTTATGAATCAAGTCATTACATGGTGAAAGCCTATCAGATTTAGTGATTTACTAGGTTAGGATGCTCTTTTAGTCCACTTTCTGTATGTATGTAAAACAGAATAATCTGTTAAAGCAAACATGATGCATAGCACCAGATTTCTTCTTCTACAAGAGCTTACAGCCACATTATCACCATTAGCAGTCTGGCTACATTTTTTATGCAGTATGAGAGTTTTTCTAGTCTTATTTTAATAATCCATCATAATAATCTGTATTTCTCCTATTAAACAGTCTGTTACATAAGCCATGCTTTGATTACCCTGCTGGTTACGGGTGACGCTTTTTAATGGCTGGAGGTAAATGACAGGATTGTATTCAATCAGCTAAGGTCAGATGGAAAGAGCCTCTCATAAATACCATCACCTCTCATCATCATGTTCAAGTGTGTAGGGTCTGTTAGAGTTTAAAGTGTCACATCATCATTATAGCATCGAAGAGACTGACATATTATGTTTTTATTATTTGCTAGTGATTTTATTTGAAATCTCCATGATGAAAAAAGTTTTACCAGGTAAAAACCTCAGAATCGGACTCAGAGGTGAGCCATCAGCCCCGGCTGATCTGGGATGACGGTGTTACAAACAACAAACCATAATGACACATACATGTTACACCACAATAGCAACACAAATGCCTTTTTAAACTGTATCTGTTTGGGAAATGACGTTTGGCTAACTGCTAACTATCCACAGTTATGGTTTGTAGCAGTGCAATACTGACAGCTGCCACTGGATTACTTTAATGCTGGAGCATCATAACGAGAAACAGGATAGGATGTGTGCATCGTTATGGTATAACATTATAACTTTGGCCAAAATGGAGACATACAAACATGCCAACAAAGTTACTCAGTCAAGAGCGAACAGTAGTACCGTGCCATAGCGCAAATTATGCTGTTCTGCATAGGCCTGAACCCCCTCAGATCATTGACAAGACTGACTACGGATACATGGATGACATCAAGCTGTATGCCAAGAGTGAACGAGAGTCACTGATCCACACCACCAGGATCTACAGCAAGGACATCGGAATGTTGTTCGGAATGCAGAAGTGTAGTTGGATGGTAACAAAGAGAGGGAAGGTAGTCAGAACTGAGGGATTGAACTACCAGAAGGCAACATTGCAGACATAGAGGACAGCTACAGGTACCTGGGGATCCCACAGGCAAATGGGAACAATGAAGAGGCCGCTAGAAAAGCTGCAACCACCAAGTACCTGCAGAGGGTCAGACAAGTCCTGAGGAGTCAGCTGAACGGTAAGAACAAGATCCGGGCTATCAACACCTGATCAGGTAACCTGCTGGGATAATAAGCTGGCCAAAGGAAGAGCTAGAACCTACTGATATCAAGACCAGGAAGCTCCTGACCATGCATGAAGGGTTTCCCCCCAGGTCCAGCACCCTGGAGAGAAATCTTATACAGTTAGTCATATAAATGTATGTCTCTGATTAATTTCCACTGCCATACAAAATAAGGGTTATCAAAATAAATTGTGCCACAATCAATGTCATACAGTAAAACAAAACCAAAAATAAATGTGAACAACTTGAAATAAGATCTCCTAATAAAACACTGAACTAGGAGAAATATATAACACCAGACACTTCCCTCATCCCTCCGAGCTGCCCCACAGATGTATAATCCCCCACAAAAACAGCCCATGCAGCACTAGAGTGGTTGCCTCCAGATTCCCTCCAAGCCCTCTTGTGTAAACTGCAGGTTCTGTGATTACTGAATAAAATGATTTACCCATTTAGATCCCAAAGTGAACATGAGAATAAGAAACCACGCATATTTTACAACAAAAACAACGGTACCGTTTAAGGACTGCTTGTCAGGCAAAATACAAAGCTCTATTTGGACCATGTTAGTTCTCTGCACTACAAATGTTACTGTAAAACCACATTTCATCCCCACTTTGCATTGTTGTCCATAGCATAAAGTTCACTTCCATAAACTGTCTGCATATTGGAGGTTTTCTCATGCTGAAACAGAGTTTTTCTTTCCCACTGTTGCCAAGTGCTTGCTCCAAGGGGGATGTTTGATTGTTGGGTCTTTACTTCACAACATAAAGCTTCCTGAGGCAACTGTTGTTGTGATTTGGTGGCATATAAATAGAATTGAACTGAACTACATGGAACACTGCATCTATTATAACAGCATGGCTTCGTAGTACAATAGTACAAAAGTGTTGAAATTGCCTGGCTGCAATGCAGATATTTCACTAATTAAAGACAGCTGGCACAATGTGAAACAAGATGAACTAAAAAAATGAAAACAAGAGAAGATGCTTCACGGCAGTAAACGTTCTGATTCCAGTGAGACGTGTTGCTGCCATCATAGTACATTTCCTCACTTTAAACTCTGATTTTATTCTGTTTTGAATAAATGATGCCTTTATTGCTAATCACTACATTCTGTTTTACACACCGCCCCAATGCTTTCAGAAAGGAAGGACCGTACATCTTATTTAAACCAAACCTAAACAAACACAAACACACAAAACAAGGATCTTTATTTAAGCCGCAATGAAGTAATAGAACGGAGGGCAACATAAGAATGGTTTTACGTTGCGCGTTCTCTAGTATGTGACAACGAT